CGGATGGTTCATTCAGTTTCGTTTGGGAACTTCTCTTTTAGACCTTTTCTTTAAGAAAGAGAGAGAATTCAAAGTTCTTCATCGACGGATCAAAAGTCGTTTGAGGCACGTCTCGATAAGATTGTCCTATTTTTCATGGCTGTCGTTCGAACTTCTCGAGTATCTGCTCAAACCTGAGAGAAGCCTTCCAGCGGGTATTTCAATAATCCTCTCGTCCCATGCATGTTGCAAAAGTGAATTGCTTCGAGAGAAATGCTCAGCCCTCTCTTTGCATACGAGCATTTATTCCCGAGAAACTGTCATCGCGAAAGAGACGCATCTGAAAACTTCCCTCTCCATTTTTTCCCCCTCTCACCCGCTACGTCTTTCTTTCTTCGCTTGCCTCCCCCTTTGGTAGGAGGAAGACAGAGAAAGTAAGTTTCAAAAGTTGTCGCATTTGTTTGATACGCGAAACGCTGACCTGTAAGCACGTTGTCTTCGTTGGTTACAAGCCAACAGCCGTTTGGTAAACGAGATACGAGTCTGACTGATCGCCCCAACGTGTTTCCTTTTCCCTTGCGCTTTCATCGATCATTTTTGGCGAACAGTCAAATGCATGAAACATCTCCCGGTATAATAATAATCTACGTGATTATCCATCTAATCGCTCGGAAACTTATTTATTTCATTCTTAATTAATTTTTAGAAATTCGTTGAAATCTATGCTAAGCTCTCGTTCTTTATTTATTGGTCTTCAATATCTCAACATATTTTATATACTAAAATGTGTATAGCTTATCAAAAATATATCGTTTCCTTTTTTTCATCGACAGTTGTTTTCTTTGTAATTTGATCGCTTCCTACCGGGAAGCTCAAGAATAATTTACGCATTAAGATTTTCAATACAGACGAGCAAAAATTTAAGTCACGCTTTTATTATAAGTTTCGCGACGAAAACTTTCTCGGGGTGCAAATATTCGTATGCAAAGTGCAAATTTTCCAATTTTCGGATCAAAACTCGATTCATATCAAATTCGATAAAATTGATATAAAAATTATTTTTCCTCCTTTACTAGAGGAGTTCTTTATCGAAGATTAGCTGGAAAAATTCTTTCGACTTATATCTCTTTCATACGTCCGTTTAAATGTATTCCTACATTAAGCATTTTTCAATATCAGTTTCATTCAAAGAACTATCAGATTCGTTTCGTATTGCGATCTCTGGTCAAAGAATTTCCTATTTTTTACTTATCACCTTTCACCGTCAGATACACTCAAACACCCATTAAATTAACCAAAATCTGACCAATTTAATATTGATCAGAAAATACTTGATCAAATCTACGAAATTTATCGCCTCTAACTTTAAACCTCCTCGCCTCATATCTACTCAACCTTTGATTTGAATTCGGTAAGCACGAACGACAGGTTAGAAAATAAAATTAGAAGGCCTCGAGTTTCATCTTCGGCGATGAATTTGATAAAAACGATAGCTTTCTGCCAACGCGCGTACAGAAAGTTCGATCGAAATGTGTGTATGCGTGTATATATATCTATATATGTTATATATATATATATATA